TTTTATCATAAATGAAATAAAATAANATCAAAAAAATTTAAATCAATATTATTATTATGATTACGAAGCAAGAAGAAATCCTCGGGGAAAATATTATTCGATAAACAAGTATAATCTTGAAAGATAATGAAATCATCAATAAATCTGAAAACAAATGTAATATTAATAGTATAAATTTTCATAAAAATGCAAAAATAAGATAAAGATTAATAATTAGTGAATATGAATTTATCATTAAATTCCTCAATTTTCTATAATATTTAAATTACCAGTAATAATATGTTCAAGATCATCCTTTGTGACATTCATAATGGGATATATTAATCCTCCCTAAATTTTTGCTTATATCAGTATAATTAAATATTGTTCTACCAAGAGATTTATTTTATTTAAAGGTTTTAATAATCTTGAAATCTTTTAAAGGAAATAAAGATCAAAAGTATTAAGAAATTTGATATTAGCAAAAATAGGATTTTGAAAGTAAATACTGAAATATCACCTATCTGAAGTTTCTTTTTATTTGGAGAAATTTTACTCATTTTGGCTTTTACAAAATCGAAACAAACGTGTTTCTAAGTCTATAGATTTTGAGCAGCAAAGCAAAATGTAACTTAAAGAAATTTTTTTAATAATTTAATGTTAATTCTTTCCCCTTTCTCTTTTCTTAACATTATTATTAAATATTTTTAATAATAATGTTAATCCCGTCTTTTTCAGTAACTTGGGGCCCCGCCAAGCTTAAATCCGGCCCTGCGGCGCAGCAATTTAGATTTTACCATTTAGTTTCTTCAGTAATAAAATTTTTACCACGGTGTAAAGCATTACCTTTAAAAAAAGGCAGTCAAAATAGAAATAAAAAATTTGACATTCTGTTTTTTATAACATGAATAGAAAAACTAACGCAAAATTTTTTTATCCTGTGAGAGTGATTCTTAAGACGAACTGCTCCATCCTACGATTTGCAAATGCGGAGGCAGGTTATTGCGATAATAGCATGCACGAACAGTTCTTTTTACATATACATAGTTTCAAACCATTTAATGCACTTCGATAGAAAAGGAGCTTTACTTTTTAAAGGAGGATACTTTTTAAAGAATGCATTAAATTCTTAATCACCTGTTTAATATATAATAAATATATAAAAATGTTAAATGGATGAAAATGTTAAATATATTAGAACATTTCTAAAATTATTCCGCGCATGCATAGTCTGAAAAAACTACTTTAAAACCCCATATCTTGAGAAATTTTTAACAATTTTTTATATAAACTTAAAAATAGCAATTTCAATAGTGATTGAAAATGGTTCCGAAAATTTCGTTGATTATCTGCAGAGTTATAGCCCAAAAAGTTACAAGAAAAAAATTACTATTTTATTAAACTTTTAAGTATGGAGGGGTTTGCAAATAACAACCAAAGTTATCAATGCAAATTAAAATCTTTTATTTCATCTATCCATCATCAATCTTTTATCAATCTTTCATTCAAATTAATTGCTTTATTTTTTGGCATAGGGTGTTCAAAAATACTTGTTTTCGTTTGTAATTCATTGCTGTTCTTTGAAAGCTTTGAAACATTTTTTTTAAGTATGAGAAATTTCATGACCTAAACACGACTAAAGTATTTCTTGAGAAATAATTCTAATTGGATTTAAACTACTTTCTTTTAATTCTGCTATTCAAACTTTTTTCAATGTCTNTATTTAAAATTGCAGAAACACTACATAAATCTATTTCAATTCGCTAGACAAGATAAGCTATTCATGAAATGGCAGTAAGTCAAGGTACAGCTCTTTCGCTTCTTTCATTCTTAAAAAACGGGAAAGCTAAAATATTCACGGCTTATTATCAAACGCGCCAGAACATACCCTTAAAAAGGATAACCCTATAGTCTGTGGGGGGAACATTTTCAGCGTGTTAGGTGGGTCATCTTGACCATCATTTAGTAGCAGGTGTTCCTTTGTAACACTCCTTACAATGCCTTCTGTTCATTTTGGGGGGAATAAGTTTGTGACGGATCTTGCATGTCATTTTTATGAGTATTGAAATTAATTTAATGAACATATCATATAAAACAAGCAACAGCAATTTTAGAAATGTATTCACATTCATTTTTAAAAATATTGTTATTTTATAAATTTTACATAATTTTTTTTTTTGCACGATACATGATAACTATAGTTCTGAACTTAAAAATGTATTTATTTAAAATGTTTTTAAGAATGCATAAAAGCGTTTATCTCAATACAAAAATTATAGCAACTATACATCGAAATTTTTTGCAAAATAATTACTTTTTCTAATTATGTTTTTATGGTGCAGTTACCATATTATGTTAAATTCTTATATGTGTTGCATTTTCAAACCTCATTCATACAGACGTTTTACATGACACAACCTGAACTTGTTTACGTTCGTGTATTAATTAATTTAATTAGAAAATAAGATAAGTTTAGACAGTATATTATACAGGGATGAGGTTTTGCCGCTTTTTAGCGGATTTCCGCTTTTTTTCACTTTTGTCTCTCGAATTTCAGCCTTTTTATCAAAAACTCCGATCCTCTTAAAATTTCGCTTTTTTAAAAATAAATATTCCGCTTTTTCAGAAAATTCAGTCACTGAAATATAATAATTATTTTTATTTTCAATTTTCAAAGGTAAACAGGAAATTCAAACTACAAAACTACCAGCCCTTTCCGCATTTTTACTTTACTTATTTTAGCTATTTTCTCCGCTTTTACGCACAGAAGATAAGATTTTCCGCATTTTTACCCGCCAGCCAGATAGCTCTTATTTTCGTAATTCAAACGACGCTGCTTCAGACAAGTCTTTTAGAAGTCGCAAGCCTGGAATCTGCCAATATCTCGATTCTTATTCACGCGATTTTAATATCTAGCATAGCTTTTCATATTTACGTGATTTAAAAGTTGCGTGTTCCGATTCTTATTTACGAGATTTAGAATCCGATATCGTGATTTGCATTTACGCCTTTTTAAAAACCTATGTAGCGATTCGTATTCACAAAATTTAAAATCCGATGCCGTGATTCGCTCATGCGGTTATAATATCAAACATCGATTTTCGTCTTATACGTGCTTCAAAAATAAGGCGTTGGGATTTGCACTCAAAATTATGCCTCATAATTCTTATTTATGCAATTTAAAATTTACGCATCATGATTCGTATTTACGCGATCTAAAAATTATGAATCGTGATTTGTATTTACGGGGTTTAAAAATTTTATATCGCAGTTTGTATTTTGTCATTTTTAAAATCGTATATCTAGTTTCATACTCATGTGATTTCAAAATTCATAATCGTGATTCATACTCACGCTATTTTAAAATCCTGGATTGCAATTTGCATTCGCGCAATTTTAAGATCAACTATTGCGATTCTTGTAAGAAGTAAATTTTTTCTTGATTTAGATACGCCAAAGGTGACTGTTTTTCTATCGACGATTATTAGAATATGTAGGTGTTACAACAACAGCGAAACTGGAATAGAATATATTCAAAACTTTTACTCTGAGCTTGCAAAGAAGAAAAAGTAGGATTTGTCACAAGATGTTTGAAGATGGACTAACGACTAAATATAGCAAACATAAAAGATATAGCACTTAAAAAGTTATTCAATATTTTTTTTTTGTTTTTTTTTTGGGGGGGGGAAGAGTTAATTAACTCAGCATCAAAATGCAAAATTTAAAAAATAATAAATTTACAAAATAATGTTGCTGTTATTTATGCTATAAAATGCAAAGCTCTTATCAAATGAAAAATAATTATCTAAACAGTTGCTGATTATCATGTAATATTTCGAACTGAAATAGCAATTTTTGTATGTTAAGGAGTTACTATATATTTTTACTTCACAGTTATTGATATGTTTCACAGGGCTCTAGTTAGATCAGATTATAATATAAACATAGTGATTTTCCAATTGTAAAAGTTGATTTTCTTTTCAAAATAATTTAAAAAGTCATGTTACTGATATATTTGCCTTAAATCATGTAACAGTATTTATTAACAGAAATGGAATGCTAATGTATGTTCTCAATAGTTTTAATTTGCTAAACCAGACAGTTTCTCAAGTAATAATTGTCTCTTATGTGAACTGAAGAAAAATATAATTTCTAGCTTTATTTTTTCAATTGGTAATTTTTCTTTTTACTAAATGTTAAGTATCGATGTAATCATTTATATAATAATAAATTATTACACAATTTTATGTCAACACATCGTTATTTATTATCTTAAACTGTCTGGAATTTATTGTTAACCGATTGCGCGTACGTAAAATTTACTTGCTTGCAAATTCAGCTTTTTTGCCTTTTGGCCAATCTCATCCCTGATTATATAAATATAGAATATTTATTATATCAGGATTATATTTGCATATTATAATCATTCGACCGAATTATTAGACCCACTGTAGTTTTTTAATAATTACCTGTTTTGCACGTGTTTATATGCAATACTTTTATATTTAAACATACATGTAATGGGTTTTCATGCGGGAGATTTTTTATATACTTCCTATTTGTATTTATTTTTGACGTACTGCATGACAATGTTAACCAATTAGTACAGGAACGTAAATAAGAGCCAACCGGTTTCAGCCATGCAAAAACAATAGTATCACCTCATAATTAAAAATTTTACATAGAATCTTCAGTTCGTAGAATAATTTGTCCAGGGACTGTTGTTTTATTCAACATATTGCAAATAGTTTTTTAATTAACTAGTTTGGATAGCCATCGATGATTTTTTTAATATTTATTTAAGCTTTAAAAACAAATTACAGTTAAATAATAATTTATTTTCTGAGAATTTGCCATAAAAAGATTCTCCTCAATTGCAGTGTCCATTTCTCAAAAGTATTTAGAATGAATGTGATTTTACTGATAAGCAGGTATTGTTGTTTTAGAATGCGGGGATAGAAAGGGTAGATAAGAAACGATTGATTTGAGAGTTAATACGGTCTGGTTATTCAGGGAAGTGAACAATTCGTAGTCGACATTGATGAATGGGCAACATATGCACTTACGAATGAACTGTTCTGAAATGTACGGGGGTTAGTCGTATGATTGCAAGTTATCTCAAGAAAAGAAATATAGTCTAGTTTTATCAGACGAACATGAGTAGGTGTGAAGTGATTGTAAGAGATAATGGTATGTACTTATACACATTCTATAAATAGTTAACTCAATTATATTAAAATACGAATAAAAATTTTTTATGTGAAGATTTATTTTTGGTAATAAAATTTACTGAATTGTAATGCGAATTAGATAAGTATTTTCTTATTAACTTTAGAAAAAGAGCTTGTTTTAAATTTTTTTTATATATAAATCAGAGATGTTGTTTCTCTCTCTTCATTATTTAATAGTTTATGAATACATTGAAAATCTGCATTTGTTTATTTATTTTAACGCGTCATCAGAATTGTTATATATCAGCTATTGCGACTAGCTTTAAAAAAATTGTAAGAAATACAATTAGATTAATTGCATTGTTAATAAATATTTAATAATATTTTGATTTTTTAGCATAAAGTCAACTTAATTGCATTTAATTATTAAATGTGAACTTCAGAGTAATAACTGATATTTTAAAATGTTATATAAATAATATATATATAAGTACAATTTCATTAGAATTATATTACAAATAGTTTATAATTTTTGAGTTATGGATTTAATTACATTTCTGTAATCTACGTTTGAATGTATCAGCGATAAGTTTAGGAAAATAAAAACAGTTTTTTTAAAAAAGAAAATCTAGTTTTAGACACTTTTTTTTAAAAAAAAAAATTATTATTTTTGCACAAACTGCTCACGCTTATCATTTATTTTTATTCATTGCTATTTTTAAGAAAACATTTTTTCTTTTTGCAAAACATGTTTAGTTTGAAAATATTAGAATTTATTACTTAAGAACAACGATTCTTGCATATTTTACAGCTTTCTGATTTTTTTAAATTTTTATTTATTTATTTATTTTGCTGTACAGAGAACTAAATGCCTAAAACAATTTTTTCAATCCTGCAACATCAGCCGAGTGTAGTTTTTTAATAAAACATTTTTATCTTTTGTTAAACTTCCGATGCAGTTATTTTATACTTCCAGTACTTGAGAAGAGAATTCAACATTTAAATTTAATATTTATTTTAAATAAAATAAAGCTTACGCAGGTGTGTAAGTGTTAAAATAGGTTTTTTCTTAAAACTTTTTAATCTTTTTACACGTGTTGTTACACATGTTTATGTTGGAAGAGTATAAAAGCAACACGTTATGCTATTTTTATATTTTTCATGTTGTTCACGTTGCTCGTGTTATGCATTTATATCTTACCTGTTCCTGCTACCAATCAGACTAAAGATACATTTAATTTCTTCTATGACGTTAAATATTTTTTAATTAAATGCCCCACTAATCCTAAGAATTATTAATTATCGTAATGAATTCGTAATTTGTGACATAAATTTATAATTAAACTAATTAATTTTTTAAAAAAATGCGTATATTTTGTTAGTGATGTATACCAGGTGTTTATTAGAAATAAATTTCTTAAAATATTAGTACACTAGTACCTAATGAAAATGTGGTATAACTACCACTAATAATATTAAATACCAATTCAGTAGTATATAAGACTTGTTAACTCGATTCTATATAGAGGTACACTTTGAGAGATGAAAGATGGCATAGTCGATAATAAACTCCGCACATTGGTGACCTCCAGGCGTGATACGAACAAAGAATACTTACACTCGTACAAAGAATATTAGAACTCGGCAACATCGATAGATGGTCCCCATTAAGCAGTTGATTTGCGTACAAAATAGCGGTAAAAAATCCGGTGAAGTAAATAAGTTTCGCCTAGCTAATAAATAAAAATGAAAAAAAAAATTATAATAATGGGCGAAATGATATAAATGTGGTATTCTAGACTAGTGGTATTCATTCATCGAATTCTATCACAGATAAATATGTTTGAATCAACATAGTTGATTCAAACATACCCCATAAAATTTGAACATTACATTAATTTCAACATCTTGAAATCGATGTTGTTATATGTACTTAAAATCCAGCTAGTTTCAAAACCCCTTAATAGTTTTCTATATTATCAATTCACAAAAAAGGTACAGGTTATCTTTTTATATAATTTCATCAAATGAGTAATTCTCGAACAGTTAAACTAATATCATAAAAAATTTCTTAGTTAGGACTTAGAATAACTTTCCTAGACAAATTTGACTTATTTCAGGGTTCAAGATAAGCAGATGATGAGGTTACAAAGATTTTACTTGCTTTTAATACATCAGATAAATACGGTTTTTGTTAACTTACTTGAGAACTTGATATATAGCCCTCATAAAACCACCTTTAACAACTCGACAGGTAATCCACTTACTAGAGTGATTAAATTGATATATTCTACTGTACTGTACTATGTATGATACAAAGTAAACACAAAGCAGCTTGGAACACAGTGTTTGTACAAATACATTTTTTGATTCAGACGTTTCGACATATTTTTCTTTCAAAATCTCACAGAGAAAAGCAAAATCATGTTGTTTAAAAAAATGTATGCTTCGTATTTAAAGTCAACATATTTAAATCAAGTATTTTAACCAAAGTGTTTTAAACATAACAGCCCTTATCGAAGTAAAAATGCAAATATAAATTTTGTTTTATTTATATTCTAATAATGTTGCGAGTGAGTCATTAGTACTTTTATGGATCACCTACTGCGGATATGATGAAGTACATCACTGAATTTCGTATTATTTTTATCCTATTCGTCATCAATATTGTATTTTAGCAATAGCTTACTAGCAAGTGACGTAATGTGGGTATTTCGATCCTTATTGGTTGTTTAAATGTCAACTGTTCTTTCTATTTTATTTCGAGTAAGCTAAGTCTGTCAATTATCAACTCTTTTACATGACACGTTCTAATTTTTTTCACAGAGATTTCAATTCTTTCACTATATATTTACACAAAGACTTAACAAAAAGACAGGCACGAAGCCATGCAGAACATAAACAAACTAACTATGCAAAGAAGTTTGCCAGGTACTCAAATCAAAAACATATCACGGTTAGAATAAAATACATAAACAATAAATCTAAATTAAGTAAAGAAGTAGACGAGAAAGAATTATATTTCAACTAATTCGATGTGCGATACAGTTCTGTATTAATTAATTTAGCGATAATTAACATTCTAACTTATGTAGACAGGGTTGGGTTTTTGACGTCAAAAAGTGGTTTTTGACATGACAAGGGTATAATACTGGTTTAAACCGTCGAAAACCCGTCAAAAAAGTCAAATACTGAAGTTTGCTAAGGAAATTTGTAAACTTCAAAACTATCAACAGTTGCCATGCATTATATTGAAATTTAATTATACTATAGTAATCAGCAGGTTTTAAAATATTTTTTAATTAAAATAAAGGTAAAATAACGTATTTAAAATCTCAGAAATTTATATTCAAATGCATGTGCATAAAATTTTTTTAAATATTTATTACTAAGCATTTTAGACATATAAGGAACATATAACTAATATTTATAAGGAACTTACAAGTTATGCTGTATAAATACAAACTTGATACAAGTGTATAAAAAAATTTTTTTTTTAATGTTATATCGAATATCTTTATTATCCAGTATGTTAATTTGAATTTAAAAGTAGTTATATTTATGAATAATGATAAATATAATTCATATTGTTTATTATATTTATTTATAATTATTACACTTATCATTTTAAAACAATTTTTATCTCTTAATTTTTTTTTCTCCACTTGTATTAAGAATACAAATAATGCATATCTTGAAAGCAAGAAGTAATTATTCAACAGCTGAATATTTAGATATTCAACAAAACTATATCGTATTCAGCAAAATGAAATTCACAAGTATTTGGATAAACTAAATTTTCAGCATAGTAAATGAATAGGCTGAATATACTGTAAATCGACACTAACTACTCTGTGTATTTAACAGAAAGCACTTAAATTTGTATTGTCTTATGTTAAAAAGATTATTAAGAAGATTTAAAAGAATATTAAAAAGATTTTTCTTTAAAAGATGTCTAATGTACAAAACTGCTAATGTTTATCTTTAAAAATGTCTAATTTTTAGTATAATCTATACTATACACTAAATTTGGTTATAAATAAATTTCTTAATAATATCACTGCAGATTTTCAATAACACATGAAAATGAATACATAATATTACAAAAGATGTGAGCTTTCAAAAGTACAAGATTTTGGTTACTATTCAAAATATAAGTGTTTCTTCAAAATTTTAAATTTATTTTTTCTAGAACATATTTAGAAACACTATCCTTTATAAAAAATATATAAATTTTATGTATTAATTAAATTTCACATATGAATATAGGTTTTTGACATTTTCGACATTTTTGACAGTGAGGTTTTTGACGTGACGGTTTAAACCATGGTTTAAACTGTCACATGTCAAAAACCTGCCAACCCTGTGTATGGAGAAAATTAGCTCATCTTTAATGCGCCATTTTGTTGAGAAAGATTAGCCGACGTCATAGCTCACATGTGTGGGAAGTCTTCTTCTTCCTCAATTGTAACACTGATAAACGTTTGTAATTATTTATACAGTCAGAAGTTTAAAAATTACACCAAACCAATGATTATTGTACCGAGTTAAAATGATAAGATTTCATATAGTATAAAATAGAAGTATTATTAGAATTAGAAATACAAGACTTCTGACTATTGTAAAGATGTATTTAATGATCACCCTGTTGCTGGGCTATCCAAAAATTTTATAAAGATATTTGAGTAAAAAATTTATTGAATAAAAAACATTTTATTCGACGAATGTCGAGTTATATGAAAGCATGCTTTTGATAGAATATGATTATACACCAGATTGTGCTTATTTAATGTGATTATTTTTTATTTTTTAGCTTTTTTTCTCAATAACTGATACAGTTTCAATAATATACATACGTATGAATAAATTTGGAATAAAATATTTATCAATTTCTTGAATATATATTTTATAAATATTAATAAAAATGCGTAGTCAAAATTTTTACATCGCAAATTTCTCAGCGTCTTATAGGGTAAACTAACCAGTGAAGGAACACTTAAGCTTAGCATGCCTATAAAAAAAATCATAAAAATTTCAAAATTTGTAATTTTAGCTAAATGATAGTGTCGACGAATTTGTTATTAAATGCAAATTATGTAAAAAAAAATTTAGATAACCTACATAATATTGTTTTAAGCTTTTGGTGGTTTAAATAATAAGTAGTAAGATAACCAAGTGAAGGAACAGTTCTTAGCAGTGAATAAACACTAAATTTTCCAGAATCCATTAAAATTCGTTAAAGTAAACATATGCATTTTAATATTTTAACAGGATTCAATTGGTCTTTAAAAACGTAAGAGCATCAATATTGCAAAAATTATATTTAACATAAAAATTAAAATTTTGAGACCAGATATTTTGAGTTAATGAAATAAAATATTTTATCTTTTAAGTTTTTGTGCCCCTATTTCAGTTTCTTAAGGATCTTACAAGCTCTGTTTAAAAAGAGAGTATCAGATATATATTTAAGGAAATAAAAATAATCATAGTAGCAGTATTTGGTGGTAAATGTAGTTTATCGTAATTGAAGAATATGCTGTGCGACACTTTATGATGAATTTGCAAACGTAAGTTTCAGAATGTATCGAAACATGAGGATGTTATTTTCTAATCATCTTTATCCAAAGGAAACCATGTTACCTAAATATCTAGCAGAATGAAGCGATTTTTTAAACAATTAATCATACAATATGCAACATATTATTTTAATATCTTATTATTGAACATAACATATTTCAATGTTTTTAAAATGCCACTAAGCATTCAGCAATTCCTTGAGTTATAGAAAAAAAGAAATATCGTAAATTATAGAAAACTCTGTGAATGTGCATTAGAATTACTATACAATCTACATTTTATTTTTCAAGCACTTTTTTCCCCTTCAAACTTTCTTGTCTCGAAGACTCGATTAAAGCTGTAAAAATGATAATTCCTAAAATTTTGAATGTAGCTATAATAAGTTATGTTAATTTGATTTTAGTATGAAATCCTCGAATAAATATAGCAAAAACAACATAATCTAAATAATATCAGATAAAAAGTTCATGTGTTTAAATTCTAAAAACTTAGAACATCATAAATAATTTATAAATCGATTCAAATTTTCTTTTCAAAGGGGATTAAAATAATTTTTTTTTTTGCTTTCTGGACAGAAATCAGCTTAAAAATTGTTAATTGCCAAGAAACTTCGAGATATTTTCTATTGACAATTAATAAAACCTCTCCAAGCAATCACAGAACCTTATTTCAATTTTTTTACGGACAGATTTTGGTTGCCTAGTAAAATTAAGCATTCCTCTTTTGAATTAGTCAATGGGTTATCTTAAAATATTTATTTGCGCAGGCGACTTTTTTTGGCGGTTTTCTGGACTATCGCCAAATATATAAACCTTTATTGCGGCCCAATTTACCACCCAATTTTTTTAAAATTTTGTCTACCCCCCCTAATTCAAGGGTCTAGATTCCAAATATGTAAAAAAAATTATATGTTTATTCAGAGAAAGTACGTTTTTGTGTCTGATTTCGTAACTTAATTAATAGTTAGCACTAATTAATTAACATATTTGAGGTCACCCCCAGGAACCATTAAGATTGACACTTAGTTCGTGAAAATC